CCCTACCCGACCAGGCTGTCGTGACTGAAGGCGTCACATCACACCGCCTGACATTCCATCCATTGGAAATCTTGTACGCTGTAACAAAAAACTCACCGAACAATTATCGATATATTCTCACGTAGTAAAATGATAGTCTAAGAGCGATTTGCCTTGTTTTGTTATCAAATTTTAACTTCAACTTTAAGTATCAGCGTTTGTTATTAAAACTCAATTACCTCAGTTTGCTGTGCACCAGTGTAAATTTCAAGAGGCCAACCGAAAATTCACGCTAACCGCCAAGCGCGACCTGTTTGCCAATGCGCATATTTTCGAACGGCACGACGGAAAACCCGAAAGGCGACATAAAAAAAAAACGATACATAGCGTTGCTACTTGCCGTTGGCACGAGCACATACAAAGTCATCATATAACTCGTATATAATATAAATATTTAAAACATGTGAAAACAGACAGTCGTCAATCTACAACACTTAAATAATTCATCATGCGAAATATGTAGCGTGGCATTGTATTTTGGCTACGCACTGTGAAAATCAGGTCCATTGCCGATTTTAGTTGCACCCTCACATGGCAAGAATGGCGGCTATCTGGTTTTTGAATCCAATTCATCTCAGAGAGGAAAACGGGCATAACTCAATAAATAAGTAGCCCCGGGAGTAGCGCCCAGTTACCAGCGGGAGGCAGCCGACGGTTTATCGATTGTTTGAGCTATTACATTGACGCTAGCTGTGTCGATGGTTGTGATACCGAGCCAACCTACAGGGAATGTGGGCAAGAATCTGAAACGGTTATTCCTAACCCTAAGACATTTACGTTTCCTGGAGGTACTGGTACCATGCAGCCGTCGTCGTGTGAAATACTGTGGTTGAACACTGACTTGTAGGCTAGATCTAGTACTATAGCCCGCGTACAGTTGCCGCATGGGCTACTAGCAATTCAACCAATTACGAGTGCTCGGGACCAACACTTACTTCAGCCAGTCAGCAGGAACTATGTATTTCCGCCGTGAAGGGTGGGGGGTTCGTGTTGGTTAGTGGACAGAAAACGTTGTGTTATCAAGTAACAAATTAATAATAGTAATGTATGTTAAATCTTTCATGACAAAAACTAATATTACAATCTTTTTTGAGTCCACTTATGCTGCTTACTTTCAACAACAATGTTTTGTCCACAACCAACCCACACCGCCCACCCCTCCACGTATCGGAAATACATAGTTCCTAAGCTGATGGCCGCTGCTCGGACAGCCGCCGCAGAAATGGCCGTTTAAAAATTGAAGTGACCAATCGAATGTTCGCTCACTGGGCAGAAACTACTCGCAAGTAGCACCATTTCAACGATAGTTAGGAGGTTAATTTAGTAGCTGTATACTTAGCCATATTCACTTCGGATAAGAGCGCATTACAGTTGCCTTCCACATAGTTTTATAGCTGCGTATAGCACGTCTAAGTTTGGTCCCGAGCACTCGTAATTGGTTGATGCTATACTATAGCCCAGTGCGACTGTACGCGGGCTATAGTACTAGAGATTACTTTTTAGCCAGTTCTGGATATGGCTAAATTGATTGCAGAACGAGATCTTGTCTTCATATTGGTTAGATTTGTTAAACAGTTTGTCGTTCGGTGACTGTGCGTGTGCGTGTGTGTGTGGGAATGTGTGTGCGTAGTGCGGCGTGTGCGTTTTTGGTGTTGTGCCGTGTGTGTGCGTGTAGGGCGCTGCGCCGCCGTTGTTGTGGTTGTGTGCGTGTGCGCTGTGTGCGTGTGCCGCTTGCTGTGCGTGT